AAAAAAAAAGACAAAAAAAAAAAGACAATTAAACCCCCCCCCAATAATGCGAATACTTTATTATCAATGAGTGACTGGTATGAGCTTTTGTCTGGGTAGTAATAATATTTCAGAAAAACCATACATCAAAATTAGGGCTTTCTCCTATTTTTGCTGTATAATTTTTTTTTTTAAAAAAATCTGTTTTGAAAGAATTATATAAGCCAAAGTGCATTTTCTGTTTTTTGTCCATATACACATTGCACCATACATAAATAATTACATTGTAAAAATGACTCCATAATTACAAGTATAATATATATTTTCATATAATATATAAAACTTTATATTAAATCTAGGTAGATGATATTTGGGATAGTCTGTGTCTTTTTTGTTTGCTTTTTTTTTTTTTCCTTTTGTCAGAGGCTGACTGTTATCGACTGTTACTGAGTAAAATCTCCAGCCAACAAGGACATGACGTGATAAACTGTCTCGAGTAGCAGGGCCCCCAGCCTTTGGCGAAGCTAATCCGAACGCTGTTTGGGTCGTAGGGCCCGTCTGCGTAATCCAGATCCGTGGCGTGTTGCAAGAGGCAGGATTTCTCATAATCGAACACTTTGATGGAGTAGCCAGGCATCACCTTGCGCACTATCAAAGTCCTACAGTTGGGGATGTCCAGTGTCGGGGAGTTGACGAAGATGGGATGCTCGCTGCGGTTGTAGGCCCACACACCATCCGGCTCTTTGCTAAGTAAAATCCCGTAGCCGATTTTACTTCGAGTCCTTCTCACAGTCTCGCTCCTGTTTTCCAGGTTTAGCTGTCCGAGGCAGAAGCCGTTTCCTTGAGGTAGGTCATAAAATATACTGACAGACTGTTCGTACACTGTGTAGAGGCGGCCAACGCGAGTCCGGTGTTCCCAGTAGGCCACGTTACACCAATGGCTCCTTTTAACAGCATCGGGTGACGTACTGGCATCTGCGGGGAAAAGCAAAGACACAGTCAGCGGTTGCTGTCACAGCCTAGAAAAAAAGACATATACTGAACGTGGAAAAAACAACTATTTCCACCCATCAGCTCTATTCACGCATGAATAAAACTTCCATTCAAACGATTATGTCAAATGCCACCAAGGAAGACAACTCAAGGCTGATGACCTGTCTGGCCACCCAACTGCTGGGCTCCCGGGGATCTCAAGCCCTCCGTCGCACTCTCGTTTAACACTTGCACGGGGCAGCCGCCCCGAGGCCGGCCGCTGGGACCCCGCAGCCTCTGGGACTAGCTGGGCTCCCACCCAAGGGGCACCAGCTTCTAGCACCGAGGGCACATGAGGCTGTTGCGCTACGGTGCTACTTCCCAAACTGACAGGTTTGGTGTCACACCCCATCCATGGGCCAGCTGCAGTGGTCTGCTAGCACCTAGGTCATTACTTCAACACACTTGGTGTCAAAGCAGGGGAAGAACATTACCCTACTACCCTGCTCAAGCCGACGGAGATACGCAGACTCTTCTCTGATAGCCTACAAGATCAGCTAACAATTCATTCATTCCACAAACATCTGAAAATGGAAGCGACTTCAGCTGCACCCTCATTTTCAAAGGCAACCTAACCTTCTGCTGAGCTGAAAAGCAGGGGATGTCCATGAACTGTGCAGATAAAAGATGCCATAGTATCTCTGCTGTGTAATAGCCTTTGATGAGGATTTGGATATTCCCCCGGGGAACATGAAATCTGAGAAGACACTTCATGCCACAGGGGTAGTGTTTTCTACAAACTATACGTGTTTTTATATAAAACCATGGAATTCTCTTCAGGACAACAAGGTCTTTTCTTTCCAGGACCAACGTAAAAGGAAGATGGGAGGGATACAGGCAGCTAGAAGCCTTTCTAAAGCTCCTTGCAGTATTTCTGATGCCTTGAGACGGAGCACGGGACCTCTCAGCCCTCCGGGGGCCCCTCACGGGGTGAATTCACCTCTTTCTAACAACAATCCTGCTGCCACCAAACTAGTTAAAAGAAAACCACTCTGGGATTTCAAAGACGACCTTCTAACAAACAGATTCTTCATTCACGGTCAACTTCCTACTCCAGCCAGCCGCGTTTCCCCCTGCTTGCGCGCCGAGGCTGCAGCGAGCCGCGGCACACGGGCTCCGCGCCGCGCTCCTCCGGGCGCCGTCCTCCCAAAACACCACGCTCTGCCCCAAGCTGGTTAAGACTCTCCTGGCAGGTTTGCTCCGGGCTGAACCCGCGGGCGCCGGGCAAGGGCCCCGGAGCTGCGCCCGGCAAGGGCTCCTCCGCTTCGCGCCAGCCCTGCTCGGGGCCCTGCATTAAGCTCCCTGACAACCCATCGGAGGCCGGTGGCCTGCTGACCTCCCTGCCTGCATGCCATCAACTCCGATTAACTCGCACACAGGGTGATGCCATTATTTTGCTTCAGAGACTCTATTGACGCACCGGATTTAAAGCACAGGCCCGCAGCCCCGTTTCTTTTCATTCTCGAATTACCCTGCAGTGGAATGGGCTTTCCTTCCCATTAACAACCTGTGAATTAAGCGGCTTTGTTGGAGTTTAACTCGAGTTGTAACTATACAGATTTCAGGGGCGGGAGAGGAAGGGGGGAAGGGAAGTTACAGGCAGGTAACTGGGCTCTTCCAAGGCGAAACACCCCGGCTGGAAGCACTTAGCGCCGCAAGCGAAGGGCAACGGTCATCGTCTCGCGCCAGCCCCTTCTGGGGGAC